TTGGTAGCTTTGATGTTTGGTCGACGATACATTGTAGTGTGTGTATATACATGCATGCGAAGTCAAACCAAGCCCTAGTTAAACAGCTCGAACGCGAGGTGCGCTTAAAGTCGCTCTGGGGTCTGCGAAGCGCACTTTGGCAGCCCCAGCTCAAAAAGCACAACTTTCAGCACAAGAGTAGTACACGAAGCATGCCTGTTTGGTTTATTATTTCTGTTTTAGAAGGAAACTCGGCAAATCATCCACTTGGGGGAAAGGAACTCAATCCTACTGACATCCAAATCTAGCATAATAATGCTTCATGTCCTTGCGCAGTTGCATCTGCATGCTCGTTTGTTTTTTGGACATAATTCCATATGCACTCTAACTAAGAGTATTTAAATCAAACTTGCAAAGCAGCTATCTCTCAATTGTGCGTTACTTGCCTAATACGAATCAACCACTGTCCAGAACAACTATTGAAATTCAAGTTTAGGAAGCATTTGACAATTCAAATGATTTCGAGTTCAGGCCAGATTCAACTGTAACCGGTTGCACTTTTTTTTGTGTGTGTGTGTGTGTTCAAAAGTCAATTGGAACACACCTATTGTCATGGCCAATTGCAACTGGAATCGAGAGACAATTCATAAGGGTTATTGTCCTTATCTAACTCCATGTGGCTTTAACCAAGCAAGAACTGAGCCAAACCAACAACAGAAACGTGTTTCGCACATAGATCTTATTTTTGGTATAACATGCTGTAAAACGCGGTGTTGTTAGGATTCGCTCAGATTCATGTTGCCCTGGATCGAAGGCCAAGTAATCAAGATTCCACAGACATCGGTTTAGAACATCCTCAATCCTGGCCCCAAAAAAGCTTGACTAGACTCTTTAAGGTTTTCATAGGTTTGCCCACCTGCATTGAAGATTGAAGACCTCCAGATGTTGTGTGTTGAGAGTCATCCATCCTGGCCAGCCCTCATGTTTCCCTTATTGGCAAAAGCAGGCGGTGCACATCCACAGTTTGACTCTTGGAAGGGGCTCTGCTTGTCCGCCTTGTCGGATTCCATACTTCGGCAATCCAGGATCTGCTTTCACATCCTGGATTGAGGATTGAGGATTGAAGGTTCTTTGACAACTCTTGATGGGATTCTCAAATATGTACTTAGGGCAATCCAAGATGTGCCAGCACGTGCTAGCACATCCTGGATTGAAGATTGAAGATTGAAGATTCTCAGACCACTTTTCTGGAAATCTTCAACTCCATACTTGCCAGCACGTGCTAGCACATCCTGGATTACACTAAGTGCTGATGCTATTATGGAGGTCTAAAAAGAGTGCATTTTTTGAGCATCATTTTCAAAAGCTGAATAGTGCATTTCACATGCATTTTTACAGCACACATGTCAATGTTTGGACGAACACCTGAGTATTCCAGGGGGGAGGGGTACCATGTGTATACATGCTGAGCCCCGCCGTCATCTACCTTTTCTGTGTCAGCCCTGTCTATGTTCCGTCACGTCATATATCCAAGTCCAAAGTAATTGTCTCATCTGCAAGTCTTTGTCAGTCATGTGTCGAACTTGGCCGAGCAATTCCCACATGAAATCTAGCTTACACCTGGTCCGATTATTGCATATGTGAAACAAAGGATTTCCGTGCTAAGAAACATCACAAGACACCAAACAACGTGAAAACACATGGCTACTGAACTGCTGCTACTTTCCTGCCAGGCACTCTCAAAGACTTCAACACGAAAAAACTGGTATGTTTCGGGGGGAGGGGACGCATGTACATATAAAGGTATATACCTCACTCTGCTTCAAAGAGCCACTTTGAACTCTGCAGGGTGTCGCGATACTGAGATGAGCCGCGATCGCAGCCCGGATAAGAAGGGTAGCAAAGGACAGTCCCAGCCATAAACCTTTTGAATTCTTTTCATAGTGTTGGGTAGAGCACATTGTTGATCTCTGCTTCTTTTGCCGAAAGCAGGGGCTCACAAAATGGCGCGGAACAGAGTAAGAAGGTAGCAGTCGACTGAACCACCGCAGTCAGACTGCTTGCATGTTCAGGCTGTCCATGCGTGTGTCTTAGAATGGTTCAAGCCGCAATCAGAGGGTCGACTTGGAGATGCAAGTTTAGCAGGACGAGCTGTTTGGTTTCTCAAAGTGAGATGTGAGCCAGTGTTGAAGGAATGAATGGGACGCCCACATTTGTGAACACGACTTTTGTAACACACACAAGCACAAGCAAACGCACACATACGCACACCCACACACCCACACACCCACACACCCACACCCACATCCAAACCCAAACCCACACCTACACAAGCAAAGGCAGCACCGGCGTTGCTTTGCGCTTTGTTTCCAATCAAGGCATGCCGCAGAAGTCGGTCGTGTGCGATTGCCTGTCTACAAGGATGAATGCCTTTTCGGGAAGGATTCTCTTCGCAGCCCTTACCCTCGTGATCATCGGGCTGCTGATGAATCTTCCGACAGAATGCAGTTGGAAGTTGCTGCCTGGCCTCAAGACCCATGTAGTTCCTAGCCCACCTGCCAAAAAGGATTACAATTTTTCAAGAATGAATCAGTTCAGAGACCACAGCAATGCTTTTTTTGCTCCTGGATCCACAGCGAGCAGTTTCTGTCCTCGTGTTTGCAAAGCTGGGCAGGGATGCATGGAAACACTCTATGAAATCTATGGGGCAGACGTTCGAAAGGCATCCAAAGCAGCGTCGGCTTTTGAGCAATCCACAATAAAAGAAATCGCCGAGAAAGGACTTCCGAAGTGCAGCGGTCAGATCGGGGATTCGGAAGCAGAACTGCTGTACCTTTCTTTGCGTTGCAACGCACCAGAGGAGGTGCTCGAAGTTGGCGCGCTGTGTGGCTGGTCCACTTTTTGGGTGCTGCAAGCCTTGTCAGACAATGGCCATGGACGACTCACCACCAGTGACGTGGAGGACCGCGTGACGCAGTTTATCCGAGAGGACACGACGCCGGCGGGAAGCTTCAAACGCTGGCGTTTCTTGCAAGGTGATGCCTTGAAAACGGTGCCCACGACAGGCGATAGCTTTGACTTCTTCTTCATAGATGCTCTGCATGAAAATTGGTTTGCGGTGCGCTACACAAAGGAAATTTTCGAAGCTACGGCAGTGAGAGATCGCACAGTGCCTGCTGTTGTCCATGATGTGTACAACCCCTTGATGCATCCCGAGTACAGGCACTGCTTAGATATTGACAACAACAAGATGGCCTTTGAGAACTTAGATAGATACATGCGCTGCATGAGCGATACGCAGGAGGCAACCGTGCAAACGGTGTCGGGGAAAAATCGAGGAGCAGTTCAGCGCTTGTTTGGGCCGGCGACACCCTCTGGAGAGGGTGCCGCGTTGCTTGAATGGGTTGCAGAATCTGGTCTCGTAGAGAAAGGGCTGTTTACACTTTCTCCTTTTAGGAGTCTGGAGCATTATCGTCACGCCCTGTCCATCCGAGTCAAGCACGGCCTTGTCACTGAGGAGGAAGGGCAGCGAGCAGCGATGAACAACCCAGCAATCTTCTTTGCTTTCCAGATCCCGGGATTGCAGAAAAAGTGATATTCCCGCTCTTCTTGGAGTTGGGAGTTTTGGAGTTGATAGATTCGACAAGTGTACGATGCGCAGGCGTTCCAAAAAGGGGCTGCGCCTGGCCTCTTTTTGTTCTAGCGGAGTCTGCCAGAAGACGTTCGTGAACTGTGCGCTGCCAATGTTTTGGGAAGTCAATTGGGCCAAAGCATTCAAACCTCCATTTTAGGCGGCAATATGTTCTGTCCCATCTGCAAATCCATGTTCTCGCCATCTAAAGCTCTTTCAATCCACCTTTTTAGGCATGCCCGAGGTGACAGGTTCGGATTGTTTCATCGGCATGAGATCACTAGAGAACCTGAACTGGTTATGGTTTGCGCGAATGTGGCCTTGCTTCCAGTCGCTCAAGCAAAATCAGTTGACAGCTCGGCTTTGTTTGCTCTTTTTTCCAGGGTTACCACGACAGTCTAGTGATGCAAATTTGGGAGGACTTGGAAGAGAAGCAAATGGTGTGGGCACTGCGAGGCGAGAATGCCAGCGCACGTCCTGCATGACATATTTAAACATTCGCAGGATGTAAGATGACCACCACTTGTGCGCAGCAGCTGGGTTCAAGACTTTGTTGATGATAGTTTGTCACATTCCAAGGTGACGAGCGAAGACGTGCATCAAGTGCATGCAAGGATTGAGCACACAGCTGTGGAGCAAACTGCAGTTGTCAGCCTCACTTCCCAGCCCAGGTAGTCTTATCATCGTGTTTCTGGGCTTTGTGTATTTGTGCCCAGCGAATGGTGTAGATGGTGCTTAGCTACACCTGGTAATGTTTGGAGCCCGCCTCAGCCTTTCCAAGATAAGAACCGCCGCCACTCTCGCTTGTGAGCCAAACCATTGAGGCCAAAGATGTCTGCAACCGTCTTGGCAGAGATGTTGGACAAAATGCGCGTCAGGCGGGAGACTGGAACACACGAACTTGAAGCCAACGGATGGATTGCTAGCATGTGTGGCATTCTTAGACACGCTGTCTCCAGGGAGTCTGACGATGCTCGCACAGTTCTGAGCAAGAAACTGTGGCAGCCTGAGACTTGCGCAAAGTTGCTTCAGTTGTGGCATGTCTCGAAGGTCCTACTTGCATGTACACCCGCTGATCTTAGGGTATGTCCATTTAGATCTATCAGTATGACCACGGAAAGGTGCTGGGTGAAGTCAGGTCGTACGTGCTTCGACATGGAGCCAAACAGTTGGACCTGACCATTACCGAAGGAGGCAAGGATGCGATGGGTCATTTGGGTGTGTCGTTTTGGAGTTGGTGCCCTTACTTGGCTTAAAGGGAAGTTAAAAGGAAGACTGAAGTCTATTTTGGGGCTCCAAATCCCTATTCTGACACGCACTCCAAAAGAACACGCCATGACCCATGGGGTTTCTTGCCTTGCCTCATTTTCTTGACCCGACCCGGGAAGAGGCTTTGTGACGGTGGCCGACCTACTGGCCATTGAGCCCCTCTTTGGCAACGTGCAGAAAGAGGCACCATTGCCGCCCGCGTGCTCGTGTGATCTGTCGGGCTGTGAGGTTCTGGTGGGTGGTCCACATGGTGCATTTGGTCCATTTGGTGCAAAATATGGGGATACGAGCATTTGTCTATGGTCCATATGGTCCATTTGAGGTTCGAGAAGGGGGTGAGCTCGAAATTTCAGCCACAAGCGTCAGGGGCGAGCCCCAATTTTCCCATGTTTGCTTGGAGAAACACCAGAGAGCCGGGTTCAACATTAATTTAAAGAACGGGGGGGGGTTGAGCCCCATTTTGGGCTGATGTCACCTCCCTTGGTGGGTTGGCACCCCCATTTCCTAAATTGTGAATAAATTGAAACGGGTCTGGTCAGGAAGGGTCCAAGGTTGGCCCTCCCCATTTTCTAAACTTAGAAGTTTTTGTCAGTCTGGATTGGTTGACCCCATTTTCTAAAGTAGACCGAGTTGGAAGACCCCATTTTCTAAAAGAGCAGCTATTTGGTTGCCAGCTGGTTGAGGGAGAAGCCAGAAAGAAAAGCCCACGCTGCGGCTCAAGTGGGATTCGCAGCCCGCAAAGCCGCAACTGTCCGGTTGCGTGCATTAAGAAAACACGCCAGTTCATAACTACAAATGATTCTTTGCAGTTTGAGGGTCCAGGCCACTACAATCCATCCAGTCTTGGGCTTGCCATCTCAGGCTTGCCATCTCAGAATAATCAGGAGCAGAGACTCTTGAACTGAATTAGAAATTGATGTCCCCTTTGGTTTTCCACGAGGCTGCCTTTTTTTTTCATGGTGAGGTTGTACCACCCATTTCTTTTATTGGGGTCGGTTCAGTGCCACATCGGACCCAGGTTCGCCCCCCCCCCCCCCCTCCCCATTTTCTAAATTGAGCATGTTTTATGAAGATGGGGGCGGCGCGCCGTTTTCTAATGAAAAATGCCCCCCCCCCCCCCCCCCGCATGTTCTGCAGAAAATGGGGGGGTCCAACCCCACCCCCCAACAGCAGACCCCTATACCAGAGTTTGAACCTGGCTCATCTGGGGTTTGTGAGTTTCTGCGCTTTGCTCACCAGGACCTCCTGGAAGTGGTTGAGATCTCCAACTCCGAGAAGCAGCGGTGCCCCGGCGCTGAGTGGCTTTATTTCGGGGCTTGAAATGAGGCATTCATTGCGAATTCCACCCTTGAACAGTGTGTTTTCTCTCAACTTCCCGCTTGGCTTGTTCTTTATTTGCGCGCATCTTGGCATGTGACTGGAGAGCCTCCCTTGACGAAAGGACAATGAAACTCCCAAAAGTGGGCGGTGCAAGCTTTGGTCATGAAGGAACGGAATACCCGAAACAAATGGATGTCGGACATGGGAGGTATGAGCTGATCCAAGAGCCGGAGCGGTGGCTCATCCGGGCCACTACCAAGCATACCATGGAGGCGCGCAGTTTCCGGAGACCGGAGGTGCGGGAAAGGGAGCATGCGATTCATGCGATTCAGACCCTTTGATCAAACGTATTTGAAGCAACATGCCGTTTTGTTCCCCTGAGAAGGAGATTGATGGTTTGGAGAGGAACGCTAGAAACCAAGCTACAATGGCATGTTTCCCAATTTGAACTTGAATTGGGCAACCAAAGATCTTTGCTTATGGTGGGATTTCACTTCCTCAGGGGACAGACCAAGCAGAGGGCCGCGCATGCTCAGGGCATCGCTCCGAAGCCAAAGAAGTCGCCCAAGAGGAACAGCAAGGCCTGAGACACTCCATGGCATCACACTTTTCAGAACGGCTAAGCGCTTTTGTTTCTTCTTCTTTTCCGGTCCAGGACCGAAGTGGGCGCGCTTTCACCGACGAAGATGAGTTTTGCTCAAACTGGAGGCGCGCCAAGCTTTTCGCCTTCCATCCACATCCTTTTCTTAAGCGCAGTGTTTTTCTTGTGCCCCGCCCTCCCTCCCAGGCTTGACCGGATGGCGAAGCAGCGGTTGAGTGAGCTGCCTGAAGCCAGCCCAGAACTCGGCTGAACTCGCGAAGCTCGGTCGAGGGGATGCATTTGGAAGTCTTTTTTGAGGGTACCTCGTTTTGTCGCTTCTAAAGGGATTCGAGGTTTCCCCATGTTGAGACACACCCATTTTCTGTTTTGGACCGCCTGACGCCCTTGGAATGGAATGAAGGGCACTTGGGAGTGACAAAGAAACACCCCCTATTCATCTCCCACCAAACCAATGGCGATGCGCTCATGTTTCAGGGCACCATTTCAGGATTTCCTGAAGGCACCCGTTTGGGAAGTGACCCTGTAGACCCCTCTTTTGACCGTAACATAAAAAAGAAGAAGTGGGAATTATTGCCTGATGGCGATACATCACACACGCCTGTTGGGTCCGAAACTCATCGATCCGTTCTTGTTTGTTTGTTCTTACCTCGCCTCCTATGGTGGCTTTACGCTTTAGCTCGACTGCCAGCTTGACTTAGGCCGGCAGCAGGCGATGCAGCGCTTCAACCCTGGACCGGAGGCGCCTCGGTCCGCAATGTCCGACCACTGGCCGCCCCCACCATTTTGTGAAGTCCCGCTTTGCCTATTTTAGACCTCAGCCGCGAGTCGCGCGTCGCAGGTCCCGGAGTCTGATTTTCCGAAGCTCTTCGTTGCCTTCCTAAAGAGGTTCAAGACGAAGGACCGGGTGAAGGGTGATCCAAGCGTCCGGTTGCACCCCGAACGGTAAACGCAAACGGCAGGGTTCCGTGTTTTCGGCTGCAATGAATGGCAGTTTCCACTTTTGTACCCCAAAGGTTTGTCGATCCTGGGTTTGCATCAGTGTTTGTTGGCATGTAGCCTTTGAACTCCATTTTCCGATTGCTCCATGGTCGACTGAAACCCCAGGGGTTGACTGCCCCGAAAGGGGAAGCCGCTTGATCAAGCATGCCCCAGAATCCCCTGAGGGTCAACAACTTCAGGGTAAGGGTAGACCCTTCACTTCTGGGAATCTCCCCATTCATTTGACAGGTTTCTTATTCTGGACCCTAGTGGTGGCTTGTTTGAGATTCCATCATGAATCGAGGAGGACAACCAGCGATAACATGGCAGTGACCTTGCATGGAGCCCTTATGGCAGTGTACCGTCCATGTCTGTGTTGGCTTTGCAGGACGGTGGTGACGGCGACGAGGCAGATCCTTCTGCAAACGAGCACAAGCTTTTGTTTGCGTGCGTTTCCGACCAACGGCTTACATTGCACATTCCGGCAAACGGTGTCTTGCAGGGTTGAAGAGAAGGCAGCCGGTTTTTGCGTTGAATAACGCCTTTTGTTCAGGGTAACCGAAGTCCTACATCGGCCTCGCTGCTGCCTCAGCTTTGGTGGCAGAAGGGACATGGATGTTCGATGGGTTCAGAGGGAAGTCATACCATGAGAGAGAAAGGGAGAGAGGGAGAGAGAGCCAAAATGTTCGGACCGGACACGGAGCCTGTAGGCGCCGAAAGAACAAGGAATCTACGCCCACGAGCCGAACGAGCGAGGCCGGGTAAAGCGAGAGGTTTGTTAGGAAGGTGTGGCTGTGCTGGTGGTTGTTCACTTGGATCCTTCCAGCTTCAGGGCAAAGAAAAGGACCCGGAGTCTGCGGGCTCTGATCACGAACCTTTCAGCCAAAGGCTCAGGCAGTGGCAAATCAGTTCTTGAGGGCCGCTTTGTTTATACCTGCCCAAAGACAAAAAGCGTTGAGGGGTCCAAAACGGATCCCTGTTGCAGCCTCAAAATGACACCTTGCCGTTGGTCGGTTTTGGACCCTTTTCACCTCAAATAGGGCCCTTGACATTTGGTCAACCAAAATCCTCCGTTTTCACCACAAGCCCTTGACATCTCAGGGAGCCTCGGCAACCGTCGCCAGAAACGAGGTGGCCTGGCCCTGTATCACAGCCCCGGGTCCACACCGCGAAGCTACGATGGCGATGTTCCGAGTCAGGACGCCGGGAGTGGCAAAGAAATCCACCAACTGTAGGTCTGTTTTTAGTTCCAACTGTAGGTTGGTTTTATCGAGCTAACTTGATCCAATGAACAGCAGGCACAAAAACAACCGCATGCCAAATCATGTCACGACCAGTCGCTACGTTTGGTGAGTTCAAGCATTCCAGTGTTTGTTGCAGCTGTGCCTTGTGCATGGCCAGTCCTTAAAATGACCTTTGAGCTGTGACCATGTGTCGCTGGCAGGATCGGAGTCCAACATCTGGCATGCAGGAGAGCTGGTGGAAAGGGGGTTCTTGCTTACTCAAAGACATATTGCAGCGTGTGTGTTTTTCGGGTCAAAACATCCCGTGTATGGTCCATTTGTGAGAGAACCATTACAAGAACAGCATATGCTGACCGTGTGTTGCTTGCGACTGCAGACGGCTGAGTTGCAGGACTTTGCGCAAATGCCGGGAGCAATGCAGCGCGTCACTCAGAGAGCCTCGCAAAAGGGGGAACACCAGGGTTCGTCATAAATAAATGACTCATGGCTCACTTGCAGCAATGTGCCGAATGCTCAGGACCGTGTTGAGCCCGCAGATGCAGCAACAGCAGCAGCCGTGCTTCAAAGCATGTTTGCTCGATGTGCATTGGCGTCCCTGTCGGTTTTGATTCTCCTTTGCTTTGAAGCGCCTTTAGGCTTCTCATTTTTGAGTTGTTTTTGGCATGCTTTAAAGGCAAACCGAAGGAGAACCGAGGCTCACTTTGGGTTTCAGACACACCCTATTGCCGCCAGGGTTGCGACCTACCCACCGCAGCTGCAGCTCATGAGCACGCTTTCGACACCGCAGCTTGTCCTCAATCGGAGTTCTTTGCACCATGGGAGTTGCAGAACCCGCCTTGGCACAATGATCAAATGGACACAAAGCGGGCGTGGCGCTGACATTTGAAAGGGCGGTGGGTGTGGACATTTGAAGCTGAAGCCAAAGACCGTTCTCCACGATTGGCTCCTTGGCTCCTGTCCAGCCGAGGTCACCCCCGGTGGTTCTCTCAACGTCAGCGTCCCCAGACCGAGGGCGAAGTCGCTGAAAGTCGCCCCAAATTCTGAGGCCTTCGCCCACGAGCAAGCCCATGACGGCATCCTTCCCCATGCGGCGCCTTGGACATGGGAATTTGATCCACCGAGAGGCCCCCTGTGTCTTTTTCGTTGTTTGGGCTTTTCGTCTTCGTTGAAGCAAGGTGAGAGGAAGTAAGAAGTTTTAGATAGGTCCTGAATCTGACCACCACGCTACAGGGCCACACGAGTACGCTCGAACAAAGTGTCACTGCCGTTCCGCCGTTTCGCGCAGTGCTTCACGGGATCCGTTTCCGAGGCAGGGCCCGGCATCTCCACAGCAGCGGCAGATGCAGCATTTGGGCACAGTCCCGCAGCAGTTTCCACAGTTCCAGCCCCAATCTCCACAGTCTTCATCGCAGATGTCTCCATCGCAGATGTCTCCATCGCAGTTACCTGATCAGACGCAGCAGGGGTACAACATGTATCCAGCGTTTCAAGGTTCGAATCAGGCACAGTCGTTTCAACAGTACCCCAACGTACCGCAGATGCCACAGCAGCAATTTCAGGCCCAACAGCAGCAGTTTCAACAAATGCAACAACAGCCACAGTCACAGGCACAGGCACAGGCACAGCCACAGCCACAGCCTCAACCGCAGCAACAGCTGCAGCAACAACAGCAGTTGCAACATCAGCAGTTGCAGCAGCAGCAACAGCTGCAGCAACAGCAGCAACAACATCCACAGCAGCAACAGTACCAACAGCAACAGCAGCAGCAGCAACAGCAGCAACAGCACCAGCAACAACAGCAGCAACAGCAGCAGTTGCAGCAGCAACAGCAGCAGCAGCAGCAGCAGCAGCAGTTGCAGCAGCAACAGCAGCAGCTGCAACAGCAACAGCAGTTGCAACAGCAGCAGCAGCAGCAACAGCAGCAGCAGCAGCAGTTGCAGCAGCAACAGTTGCAGCAACAACAGTTGCAACAGCAACAGTTGCAACAGCAACAGTTGCAACAGCAGCAGTTGCAACAGCAACAGCTGCAGCAGCAACAGCAGCAACAATTTCAACAGCAACAGCAACAACAGCAGCAGCAACAGCAGCAACCACCGGGGCAACAATCGCAGCAACAGCAGCCTTACCACATGCAAATGCAGCAGTCGCAGATGCAGCAGCCGCAGATGCAACAGCCGCAAATGCAGCAGCCGCAGATGCAGCCGCCTGGCTTGAAATGAGCTTTGAGCCGGGTCATGTTTTTTTGAAAGAGGGTCAAGATCTTTGAGGACGCATCAGTCATCCCACTGCTCAACTTCATGTCTTAACCTGGTTGTAGAGCCCTCCTTCAGCGCTTGTAGAACTCGCAGAGCGCCCTTTCGCGCACAACCCAATACATCCTCACTTGTTGGTTTCCCAAATTCACAGCCATGTTATGGCCAAGTCATTTGGGTGTGTTTGTTTTATGGAATCAGACAGATTGTGGCGTTACTTTTGCCTTCGCTTTTAAACCCACCCCCAAAAATGTACCCTTTGAGCAAAGGTCCTTTCAAGATGATCAATGCTCTTTGTTTGGGGGGCTTCTTTGCCATGATATGAAGCGCTTGCTTCGACCACATTTCCAAATATGGGGACTCCCGCAAAACGGTGGTTTCCCTTCCACGCCATCTTGCTTTTCAGTTTCTCCGCCTCCGGTTAGGTCAACATGTCCAGTAAGCAGTCTATGCTCAACTTGGGAGGGGCATAGAAGGGCACCAAATGAGTTGCAACAGCCTAGGATAACTGACAACCATACTTGGGGGATCAAAGGTGGGTTGTATCCTAGGTTACCAACTTAACCTGGCCGAACACCCAAGCACCCAATTGTCCCATGTCAGGGAAAGCGCTTTCGCTTCGGCTCCAAAAGCGTCAGGCAAGGGCCACAGCACCCGCCACCCGCACATGTGCCGCAGTTGCCTGAGCGAGGCTGGGGGTGCCGGGTGAAGGGTTTCCCTTTAAACATCGATAAGACAAGTTCCCTCAAGAAACAACCCCTGACATACCTTTTGCCCTTATTTCCTTGTGTTGTTATTTTTTTGGCACCAAAAAGGGGTTGCCAAAGATCCAGGTTCTCAAATGATGTCGCCCTCCCTGCCAGGAATGACGAGCCCGTTGCCGGCTCAGCGCCAGTTGGGCCATAACAGTTCTGAGCAGTTTTTGCTTGAGCTGCATTCCCGAATGATCATGTGTTTGAGCGAAAAGCACAGGTTGGCTGCCCAAATGGCGATGCTCGGCCCTCGGCCCTGCTTCAGGCTCACTCCTCCAGTCATTCATCTGCAAAAGGCGAAGCGACCTCGCCGAGGTACAATGAGATGCACATGCCCCCCAGCCAAGATGCTGCTTCCAGGAGAACCCGCGCAGAGCTTGACCTTGGGACTTCTCACGGACCTTAGGGGAACCACACCGGAACCCTCGAAAACTCTGTGCTGTTGGGTTGATCTTGATCTTGCCCGTGGACCTTGGGACAGTCGGAAAAACTTTGGTCGCGTTGCCAGGATGACGCCACCCCCACCGGCGCATGCACCACAGGCTTCGCCGCAAGCGTCAATCTTTGACCTTTGGGGTCGAGCCATCATTTGGTATGTGTCAAAATAGGGGCCCCAACGGTGGCTTTCCTTTTGGTTTCAAGGTGAAAAGCCTCCGACAACACACCCACTTTCTTTCGCCAGTTTAAGGATTGCTTTTTCTGAAGATGTGTAAGGAACAGAGATGGCTTCGGGAACGGGATCGCCGCTTCTCAGAAGTCGGAAATGAACTCCCCCTTTTGGCTGGTTTGTCAGGGAAGCTGGAATAGCGGACCCCCCAAAACTGGTTGGTCTCCTTTTCGTTGCTTTCAGATTGAAAAACCCGCTCAATTTTTGTATCAGAGACCCCAGCCCCTCCTGGCTCCTTTCTCGCCAGGTTGCTAGCTTGCCACGACCCAGCGAGCTGGGTTCTTAGACTCGGCGCGTTCTTTGGAATGGAATATGGGGTTGTCCCAAATCAGGAATCGAGCCCTCAAGATTGGTGGTTGTCCTTCTGTTCCCCTTGAAGACCATCCCAAAGGGTACCAACACAAAACAACACACCCCGAAACATGGACGATTTGCTCACACACAAGCATTCCCGTTCCACCTTCAGAACGCGAGACGAGTTGGTTTCTGGTCCTCTTGGAGCTGCCAGGTCGCCGGAACTCTCCCGGCCTCCAGGCGGGACCCGTCGCTGTGCGCCCATTCTTCGTCGGTGCAGACTCGAGTTGCCTAATGTGAGGCACCTTCATCCCAACCGGCCGAGCTCGGACCTCGAGAGCGACCCATTCCAAGTGTTTAGACCAAGGGCTGCGTGTTGGGCCTCGCTTGACTCGGGAAGTCGAGTGCCAATCACTTGGGCTTGCAGCTCACCAGACATTGAGTTGGCGCACTTTTCACGCGCGTCCGATTGCTCAAAGGTAGATCCTTGGTCGGGCACCGGGTCATGGAGCCACACATTTCACCAATCACGCTGCACTCTGTTCGGCAGGCAGCAAGAACAGGTTCCACGTGCCGGGCATTTTGCAGAGCAGAAGGGATCCCAGGCCTGCTGTGATCCCGGCGGAGTCCCGCCCAGCTTCTTGGCGGCAGGCAATATGTGCCGTCATCTATCAGCAAAGGGAATGACATTGGGCACACTTACCAAGTTACCATCAGAAAATGGGGGTTACTCCCCAAAATCCGATGTCAGCTCGCACGACGAATATTGACAGTGCCTCATATGGCAGTGCTGAGTATATGAGGAAATCGGCCAAGAACATGTGTGCAGAGTCAAAAACACATTTTTCTTGACCGTGGCCAAGCCGGAGATTTGACGCTGGCACACGCGATGAGGACAGATAAGATGGGCCGAAAACGTGGCGGAGCTGCTTGGCCGCATCTGAAAGCCGCGCACACCAAAGCAGGGTTGGACAACATTTTGTTTATTCAACGCCCTGGGCTGAGAGAAAGAGTGCAAGAGGAGGTTGACACTATGGTTGCGTGTATTGTTTTTCCATTCAGGAAAACATGAAATCAGAAATCACAACAAACGAGTTGCCCAACGCTTGCCGTTGCGCCTTTTTCTGTTGAGGAAGGCGGCGCTGGGGAGGACTTCCCCATGCCGGCCGGGCTTCCAGCAGGCCGAACTGGGCGCGTTCGAGCGTAGCCCTCGCAAAGGGGGTTCCGTTGGAAACCCTTTTTGGTTGAAGCAACGGGAGCCCATTTGTGCGGTGAGCAACTTAGGCATTGATATGGTTTCCTTTCCAGAGAACCATGGTTTGACCCGGGGGCTACAGGCAAGCCCGGTATCACGCGGGCAAATGGTGCTGAGATGTTCCGTGAAAGGTGTTTCATGTAACCCCCGAAAGCTCTTTCATATCCATGGTAGATGGCTCGCCTCCATACTAATGTCGGTGAGAGCCATGGGAATTTGATTTGGGTAGTCGATGCATACATGTGGTGTATGGATGCATCAGGAGCTTTGGACCCCGCAGCGCTGGGCTTCCCGCTTCCGCCCGGGGGCTTCCCTGGGCTGCCGCAGTCCATGCCGGGCCTTGCCGCGGCCACCTCTGCCCCACCGGCGGCTCCGGGGGCGCCCGGGGCGCCCGGGGCGCCTGGGGCGCCGGGGGCGCCAGGGGCCCCGGGGTCTCTCGGAGCGCCCGCGCTGTCGATGCCGGGCGGCCTGCAACTGCCTCCTGGCTTGCAGCTGCCTCCTGGGCTGCAGCTGCCACCCGGATTGCAGCTTCCCCCAGGCCTGCAGCTCCCCCCAGGCCTGCAGCTGCCACCTGGCTTGCTGCCAGGAGGTGGGATCGCTTCTGTTCAGCCGAACTGTTGTTTGTCCAAGGGCTGTGGAGTCATGATGTGTTTTTGCGCCAGGAGCGGACCCCAAGGCAGGCCTTCTGGGCTTGAAGCTGCCCCCGCCGCCCCCGGGCCTGCTGGCTGCCGCCGGGTTGCAGCTGCCGGGCATGCCCGGTGGGCCAACAATGCCCAAGCTGCCGGGCATGCCGCCGCCCCCGGGGTCTTTAGACTCCGAGGCCCTGGCGCAGATGAGGCGCGGATCCGAAAATTCGGCTCCGGGGTCGCTTTTGGCATTTTCCGAGTTTGGGCTTGAAGGGTTTGAGGTTTGATGTTGTGCGAGCAGACCATGATGCACCAAGTTGCAGTTGCTCTTTGCCGTGATGCCAGGTTTCAACAAGTTGCTACAGAGTATGAGCAGATCAAGAGTGCCGGCATTGACCCGCAAGTGGCAGAGCTTGCAGAGTATCATGGCTTAGGCGGGCATGCAGGCATGCAGCATCAGTATCATTGTGTGCCCGTGTCAGCTGCATCTTTGGCCATGAGCAGCTGTGCCCCTGCAGATGAACGAGCAACTCGCGCACTTGATGAGGAAATGAAGAGGCGAAGAGACACGCAGCGTGGCAGCATCTGACGTGTAAGACTGCAAGAAATGTTGGCACGTGCTTTAGGGGAGCTGCCACCTGCGAGGTTTGAGTCAGACTTGCAAGCTCTTTGGGTTGGCCTTGAAGGGGCCAAGAACCCGTCAGGCGGGGAATGAGAGTTGCGGGGGATTGCTGGGGCATTGCCGTTTGCCAGGAATGCTGATGATGAAGCTCAAAGACATGCGAATGGGCACCTTCAAAGGAATGACCGCGCTGGACAAGAAGGACGAGCGAGTTTTGGGTTCATGAACCAATGAGGCAACACGACGTGCGTGGACAGACCGGCTCAGCTTCACAGTTCAAGCCAAAATAGAAGGTCTTGAAGGGGAAACACATCCTTATGAGTCGTTCTTGTTTTCGTTTGTCTCTCTGTCTCTGCCCTGACAGATCCACGACTTTGCCAAGAGAAATCGCCTAGATGCACAGGCTGCTGTAAAGCTCGCAGAGGCGCCGCCCTTTGCTGTATTCCTCACGGGGAAGCACCTGGCCATCACTTGCCTCAGGTCCTTCAGAATCGTTGTGACGTGGACAACGACTTGGCAAAGCTGGCGAAGCCAGGGCCCAACTGCACTGACAGAAGAGTTTGTTTTTTGTTTTGTTTTTAAAACCCGGTTCATGAAATTGAAACAAGTTGCCAGTTCTTTTGGCACCTACCAGAACTTCATTGTTGTTCAACCGTGAGCCTTTGGAGGCATGAGTCGACTTTGTTCTTGTAGAGGCGGAGGGAAGCCATGCCGATTTACTCAACAAGCTTGTGGTCCACTTGCTTGAATGTGGACCCTGGATGGATCCCTTTGTCGGATTCACATGAAGGATGCCCTGCGAAAGGGGACCCCCCCCCCTTGGACACTTAGAGACGCTTTGCAGGTGCGAACCCTTAACTCAAACAATCTCCCAAGCAAGGAGGGTAGAATTGACCCCGCCCGAATCCGTCCGCCAAATTTTTCGGATGATTTTTTTTCTTTGTCTTTCGTTAGGCACTTGGAGCGTTCCAATAAGCCCTCCTCCCTGGTGATGATGATGCTGCGGGACCTTCGGGAGGGCAAGCCCATCAAGGAGCCACGATGGGGCGGTTCCGGGAAAGGGCTACCCGTGGGACTTTCTGTTTGGTTGTTGTTTTGTTTCATGTTAGGGCATCCGTGTCTTTTTTGAGGAGAGGTGAGGAAGCAGGCACTGCTTGGATTCCGACCACACTGCAAATAGTTGCGTTGCGCAGAGTTTGATGTCAACCCCAAAAGAGAAACCAGGTATTGGCCACGGAAACAAGCTTGTCAAATTCAATCTGAGCCGACTGACAGGAGCCTGAGTATCAGCCTGCGATTGGCAGCAAGGCGCAGAGTGGCAGGGGGTGCCTTGCTGTGTAAGACTTTTAGGCCAGACCTAAGGGATCAAGAGATATTTGCGTCTCTCCGGTTTTCAAGGGATTGAGATTCCATACATCACAAGCCCCATGGACAGGCAAGGACATCACCATGCACATGACATATGTTGGGTCATCTCGCCAAGATATCGCAAGAAAGTTGGTTGCAACCGCTCCAAAGTCCGTTTGCCTTTTGCTCTCCTGAGACGAGGTTTTCAAGAGAAACTCGACCAGATTGGGTTGATGAAAAGATAACGGTGACCCCCCACATGTGATCTGGATCCATATCCGGCATTTCCAAGAATGCAGCATGAAAATGTAGAGTCGATTGGAACGAGCCAAATTCCAACCAAGGGGGCCGAAACCATGAGCCCAAGAGAAACTTTCAGACGGCACTGCCAGGTGCACGAGCGGGAGATAAAGCAGACCATGAAGGACGACCGAAAGGCAGGAATCAAATGATTGCGGAAAATGCTTGCTTTTAGGTGGCCGCTAGCTCCTCCCCAAGTTTGCTGTCTTGATTTTGTTTTTGTTTTGCTCTTGTCTCGTTCATTTTTTGAACTTTCCAACTTTCGGCACAGTGAGGCGCGTTTGCTCAGGATGAGAAGCAGCGAGACAGGAGCCGCAGCCGAGGGCGACGTGGTGGTGACAGGCAGGGGCGCTTCAGATGCAACCTCTTTTAGTGGCTTGTGTGGAACTGGTGGAGTGTTGTGTCTGCACATGGAAGCTTTTAAAACTTGTTCCCTCGGGAAGCTAGTCCACATGATGACCAGTGGGCCTGATGACTGGAAAGCCACATTTTCTTGGTATTAGTGGAGTTGGTTGCCTCGTATCAATGGTAGATGTCCCATAGCCCTTGTATTGGCCTGGCCAATCTGCGATTGAACACCACCTGCCGCTGCGGGCAGCTTGTGGAGAGCCTCACCAACATGCCTTGTGAGCCATGCGAGTCATGGACATGCTTGGCACCTGACAGGGACAGACGAGACCGCGATCGCGATCGTGACCGTGCCTTGATTCCTTTTCAGAAATGGTTGCACTTGCAATGATTTGGCCTTTGCCTTTTTGCGTCTCACGGGAGTCGCGGCGCCACACGTATCACATATAATACACATGATATGTACACATGATATGTACATATCAATAATTAGGACGGTTCGGTTCGGTTTGGGTCAGGTCGCTTCTGCTTTGCCGCGGTTCTGGGATATTCCGGTTCGGTTTCGGTCTTAATGCAGCAAGTGATTCTGTTCGGTTCAGTTCCTGAATATTTCCAACGGTTCGGTTCGTTTCCTGATTGTTTTGCATCGGTTCGGTTCGGCCCAGATTTGCAGAGCAGAGGGCCACAGCCAATAGGATTTTGCACGTTGTTGATTTCAGGGTTCATGCACTTGGCAAAGACGGCTGGAGTTCCAGCAAAAGGGGCCCGCGGTATGCGGTATGTATGGAAGATATGTAGTGAATGTACGTAATGTATGTAATGTATGTAATGTATGAAAATAATGTCTCACAATGCTTACGGACATGCAATGCAATGCATTATCATGTTATGTTATGTTATGGTAAGTTATGCTATGCTGTGCAGTCATGTCATGCTATGTTGTGTTACGTTATGTTATGTATTTTATGCATGCATGCATGCATGTATGTATTTCCCCAGATAGCTGAAAGCTTCGGGCGTTCTAGCTTCTAATACAGAGGGGACAGCGATTTGGGAGATTGATGGGCTGGTGCTAGGGGGGCGTGCAGTTTGGGGTGCTGGTGAAGTGCTTATGGCAGTGCGGGCGAATCTTTTCAAGATCGACGGTAGGGTCGGGCATGCAGCTTGCTGGTGCAGGTGCTGTTTTGGGGGGTGACGGAGCGTGCATTTTTGCATCTTGACGGTGGGGTGCAAGGGAGCATGCAGCTTGGCATGCTGGTGCAGGTGGTGTTTTCGGATGCTGTTTGGGGTGCTGTTTGGTTTTCATGATATTGACGGCTGGGTGCTTGGGGGGGTGCTGTTTGGGGTGCTGTTAAGGGTGACGGTGCAGGCGCGCGCATGTTTTGCTCGATTGACGCCCGGGTGCTGTTTGGGGCGCTCTTGAGGGGGTGCTGTTGGGAGGTGCTGCTATGCAATCATTGCTATTTGGGGTCTATGCTGGTGTATTGGAATGTAATTGTTATGTAATGTAATGTAATGTAATGTAATGTATTGCAATGTAATGTAATGTAACAGTAGGTATGGTATGGCATGGTATGAATGTATGTAATGCAATGTAACGCAATGTAATGTAATGTTATGTTATGTAACGTAGCGTTACCTTACCGTAATGCAACGTAATGTAATGCAATGTAATGTAATGTAACGCAATGTAATGTAATGTAATGTATCGTAACGTAATGTTATGTATTGTAATGTAACGTAACGTACTGTACTGTACTGTAATGTACTGTAATGTAATGTAATGCAGTGCAGTGCAATGTAATGTAATGTAATGTAATGTAGCGTAGTGTAATGCATGCATGCATGCATGCATGCATGTGTGTATGTACGTAATGTATGTAGTGGATGTAATGTATGTAATGTATGTAATGTATGCATGTATGCAATGTAATGTAAGGTAATGTAATGTTTTGAAATGTAGTGCAATGTAATGCAATGTAATGTACTGCAATGTAATGATCGTACGCATTTCCTGCCTCGAGTATTCGAAGCTTGAAATTGAACTTGGATCGCATTGGGCCTGTGTCCCCTGCCTTAGGCAGTTCGTGCTTTGCCATCCTTTTCCCCCCTTTCCTGTCGGTGGTTTGCTGTCTCGGATGTTCTTGGAGTACAGAATGTAATGTAATGCAATGTAATGTAATGTAATGAAATGTAATGTATGTATGCAATGTATGGAATGTAATGTAATGTAATGCAATGTAATGTAATGTAATGTAATGTAATGTAATGTAATGTAGTGTAGTGTAATGTAATGTAATGTAATGTAATGCATGTAATTCTTGCATAGGTTACTTTGCACGGCGGTTCAGGGATCATGTTGATGGCCGCGTGAAAGTCAATGTTTTGGCGAACCTCTTTCGTTCGGATTCAGTCAGGGAGGTCAGGGAGAGCCTTATTCGATTGGACGGGCGTGTTCTGATTAGGCCGGATCACTTGCAACGACAATGTATCAACGTTGAGCTGTGTTTTTCAAGCTATAGACCCAATTTCGGCAGCCAACTAAAAGCAAAATCAGAAGGGACACCAACCAGTAGGGTCCCGATTTTGACAAACAGGACAAGGTTTCACCAACGACTCTTGAAATTCATGAACAACCAAACGTCACGTTGTCACCTGGTTGAAACCAGTACAGGAAACCAACCATTATGGGGCGGGTTTCATGATTTTGAAGACAAACCACTCGCAGAGATCAGATCGAGCAATGAGGCGATCGCGACCGGGACCGTGGGCGTGACGAGCGACGGGCCTCGGCCTCGGCAAGTTTGTGCGGTCTCGGATCTCTTCCCAAAGCCCGGGTAGAGGGTTAGTCGCGGACAGTCCCAACCAGAAATTGGAGCGGATATCCGCCCTTTTGATGCGTTACAAGGTTTCGGGTAGACCGCTCTAGTACCAGGTTTTGATAATTGGGAAAAGTTGGGGTCGGGCTGTTGATGGAGATCCCCCGAGGAATTTTCACAACCGCTGCAAGGGGTTCTATTGAGAGAAGTTGCATGGGCAAAGCGATGGTCCGAATCTGAGGACCGTGATCGCGACGACCGAAGTGGTTCAGAGCTTGGCATGGCCTTTGAAACAGGCTGCTGTTTCACCGTTCAGGTGGCAGTGGCATGAGTTCGTGATGAGTTTTGAGCCTTGGTCGACTGCGAAGGTGCTAGGAAGAAGGCTTTCAGAGCGCATGGGTGCTCTCTAAAATGGTGTGGAAACCGCGTGTTCCCTTTCGATTCAATGTTGAAATAGAACACCCTGAGGGTTTATTGTTTTGGAACTACGAGCTTTGTGTGTGTGTGTGTGCGCACACCGAGGCAGGTAACATATCAGACACGTGGTGGCCAGAAGCAAGGAAGGAGAGCGGCTTGTCTGAATCTGTCAACCAGCTACAAGTACCATGCCTTGCTGAGAAACAACCACCAGCAACAGCAATAGCACCAGCAACAGCAACGGCAACGGCAACGGCAACAGCGACAGCAGCAGCATAAACAGCAACGACGACAAGAACAGCAGCAACAACAACAGCAACAGCAACAGCAACGGCCACAACAACAGCAACAACATCAGCAACAGCAACGGCAAAGGCAACAACAACAACAGCACAGCAGCAGCAGCAGGAGGAGCAGCAGCAACAACAACAACACCAGCAGCAGCAGCAGCAGCAGCAGCAGCCAGCAGCAGCAGCAGCAGCAGCAGCAGCAGCAGCAGCAGCAGCAGCAGCAGCAGCAGCAGCAGCAGCAGCAGCAGCAGCAACATCGACGACGACGACAACGAGAACGACAACGGCAACAAGAACGACAACGACAATGACAATGACAACGACATTGACAACAACAACAACAACAACAACAACAACAACAACAACAACAACAACAACAACAACAACAACGACAACGACAAGCACAGCAACAACACCAACACGTTCACCAACACCAACACCAACGCCAACAGCAGCAACAGCGACTACAACAGCAACAGCCGCAGCCGCAGCCACGGCCTCGACGGCGATGGCGACGGAGACGGCAACAGTGGCAGCGGCAGCGGCACCGACGAATTTAACATCATCATCAACATTACCACCAACGAGAACGACAGTCACGACGAAAACAACATCAACAACAAACAGCAAGCAGCAGCAGAAACAACAACAGCAGCAGCAACAGCAACAGCAACAGCAACAGCAACAGCAGCCACAGCAACTGCAACAGCAACAGCAACAACAACTACAACAACAGCAGCAGCAGCAGCAGCAGCAGCAACAACAACCACCACAACCACAACCACAACCACAACCACAACCACAACCACAACCACAACCA